AGCCAATAATAATAATAATGCAATCACTGATCCACTAGTACCCGCTCACACTGTATGGGATGAAGACTGGTCGATTTCAGGTGGAAGACCAACTGATTTAGCTCCGAATGCACCAAATTTCAATGCGGGAGGTAATACTATAGCTGCTGGAATTCGTATTGGTCAAAAACTATATCACTTTTTACATGACTTTCCCACTGTTACCGCTGAAAAGTCTAAAGTCGCCGACCGTAACAGTAATATGATAATAATTATATATATTACTATCTGCTCTGCCTTGGCTTCCTGTTTCTTAGCTTGATGGAGTTTTATTTTATTTGGGTTGAGGTGGACACAAAGGAACATTTTGATAATAGTCTGTAAACTGTGCCTGTAAACTGTGCCTGTAAATTGTGCCTGTCCATACTATAATAATAAGTCTTTATCTCTTTATATTTAGCAATTTCAACAGGTTATTATTCACCATACCTCATTTGCACATTTAACATGACAATAAATTACATAAAAAAACTATTGAAGAGGGAATCTACACAGAAATAAAAAATCTATTACAAGCAAAAGACTGACTTATTTTACGGAAAACTTTGATTAAGAAGTTGGATACAATATTTGAAACAGAATATACAGAGATAGAATCCAAAATCAATTTAGAAACAGTTATCAATGGTGACAAATATACAGAATAAGAAAAAGCAAGGTTCAACTGCTTCATAAGGGATGCACTCATAGATTTTGTAGCTAACTTCAGATATAGAATACTGAGAGTTTTAGACTGTTAAATATCTAAAAGAACATATATTGTGGAATCTCTTTCACCTATCTTCCATGCATTTTGAAATGCATTCCCAGATATTAAATATGATTGGATTGAAAAAAATGATGCTTCAATAAGAGAGGCAAACAATATGTTTGCAGAAGATATCATAATCAAATCCACAAAAAGACAGATCTACTACTGCTTGTCATACATTTATCAGATGGATATGGATTGGAAATAATGAACACTGAAGTCTCAGGAACCTTCCTTTAAAGTTACATAAGGACACACAGTCAGAGATGCCAAAAAGTTGCTTGTGATGTCTGTATGTAGTCTTTGCTGAGTGCTTGGAAATAACATCAAAGCCTTTAATATTAATTTTGCTGAGATGGCTCATTAAACCAAGCATGTCCATGCTGCTTGTGTCTATTTTTTCTCTGAGTTTTTCTAATAGTCTTCTGACAATGCCCCTAGGCAAGGCCTTTTGACTAAGCTTTTTTTTCTTGAAACATTCTAGTTTCTCTTGTATGGGGTTTGACCCTAGCTTCCTATACTCTTCTCAGAGATGCTCTTTCTTGAGAAAAATTACTTGATAATGAATAAAAGCAATGTGAAGCAGTGAATCGCGACTCAAACTTACACTATATTGGACAACAAATTTTTTAGTAAGTCATCATTAATTGATTTATAATTTGCTCAAGGTTTTCTTTTGGAGCTGCACCTTCTGGTCTGCAGGAGGAGAAACCATTGTTGTATGACTTGTGTATGTGTTGTGACCACCCGCGGCACCACTCTCCCACGGATAAAATTGAATCTTGATGATGTAGGAATGCGGCTGCATAGTGTACCCCGTTTGTAGGTGGTATAATTCGATTGGCTTTCTCCGCGTGGAAAAAATGACAACCTGAATTGTATAAAGATAAGCAATAGCGACAAGTAGAATTATTCCCTTCAAGACGACAGTGTTTCCATCAGGAATGCATAGACGAAATCCGCGAGGGACTTTGTTTTTGAGATATCGCACAATTTTCTGTGCCAAGGTAGGCTCATTTCCTGCACTGAGTCTAGGCCCCGGAAATGAAGCCATCTTGTCACTCGTCGAAAGTTTTCCTTAGCAAAAGGTTTGCCAGAGGCCGAATCGAACGCTTCATTCACCCTTGACACGAATACATCATCAGAAGCTTGTGAGAATGTAAGGCTTGGGCCGTTCTCTTCACTAAAATTTAGAGTTTCCCGTATCGGGACCGATGAAGTACTGGCAAGTTTGATGCATATTCAAGACGAAGCGTTTTCAGACGTTTTGCATGCTATTAAAAGCGCAGAATAGAAATTCATTGCTTGACAACATGACAAAAACTTATATTGCTATATCGTTATACCTGTTTAGTTGTAGAGAGAATGTCTGCTACCCTCTTTCATTCTTCCATGCTCAACGCAGGCCGAGGCTGAAGAGGTACGGCAGTGCGAGAATAGGAAGACGAAAGATGCGCGTTCAAAAACTTGGAAAGGCGAATGGGCGTAAAGAAGAGAGGAAGGGAGTGAAACGGAAAGAGATATATATCGGTGAGAACGCGATTACCCAAGCCAATATTGAGATGTTTACGCGATTTGGGAATGTGGCTAAGGAGGCTGAGGAAGAGTGGCGAGTTTACAACCTGGAGTAGAGTCGTTTTTCGAGACCTTGTGTTGAAACTTTGTCACAGTAGAAATATTCGTTCCGTATTGTTCCGTATCTCTCATGTTTATTCAGTCTTTTTAGTTTAGCTTGAATCTTTCCTTTTCTTTTTAGCTTATTTAGTATTTGCTAAATTTGTCGTTTGTTCCCGCTCCTGAAAATGTATTTAAAAATAGTTTCGTCGCACTTGAATAAATTACGCGGGTTTTGATCTTTGAACTTGCAATATTGAATCTGGGACTTGCAATATAAGGCGAAATAAGACTCTCGAAGGCAGTGATTTATAACTGACAGGGTTGCAGGTTATGTAACAAGAGTTCTGGGTTTTAACAAGAGTTCCAGATGAGCAAAAAGCTGTCATTTATTTAACGTATTAACATGTCTTTTTATGCATCTTGTTAAAACCGATATATGCAATAATTTAATCTAATTGAAACCAATATATGGCAATAAATTAATCTGACCCACCAACCGGGTCCAACAACTATTCCGTCCACTTAGCTAAGATTGGGAACGACACGTGCAAACTGTGGCAGGTTAAGAAATACTGCGAGAGCAAATGCGCATGATTAATAACGAAGTTAAGATACTCACATCCAACATATATACATATATACGAGACTGAGGATATAGGTCCATCTCTATATAAAATAGAAAATATGAAAGACTACAATAAAGCACCTTTGCGGCCATAAGACATTTTGAAGCAGTTTATATTCACATTCTAAAACGAAGGAAAACTGGCGTTAATCAAGGGAAGATCTTAAAAAAGTAGACGTTTTTAGGTCTAAGCAAAGTTAACGTAGAGTGGAGCAACAAAGACTTTTTTGGTATGTAACGAGAGCTCAAAAGGTGGAGATTCAAACTTGTATAAGGTCAAAAACAATTTAATGTTGTCGGAGTGACCGCAAATTCCTTGCATATAACGTTACACCAAACAATTACTTATGAAAATGATTCGAAGGGACATTTCCCCTGACTAATAAAACATAAATAATACTATACATGCAATCGGGAATACAGTAGACTGTTTATTATCTGTACTGCGAAAAACGTGATCCTGTATTAATAGTACGTCTAAATTTATTAAACCAAACAATCAACATGTAGTTCAAGTCAATAGTAACAGATAAATCAAAAGACTTAATTAGGTTTATGATCTCTGTCTTCCCTTGTTCAGTTGAAGACATTGATACACTTTATTTAGATCAATATACTGAGAATCTTGTCACCGCGCCTCAGGCTTAAAACACATGAGGCTATGCTTTGTACCGTTATTACGCAATTATTCACCTAATAAAGCACGTAAACGTTCACTGTATGAAAAAAAAATATTTTGGTTAGGCTCTGTTGTGATTGACATCGAAGTATTTACCCGCTGCTTTTCCTCTTCCCGTAAAAAAAATTTTCGAATTGTCATCACGTTAAATTCAGTTAAGTATAATCTATGACATGGATTTTTCTTAGAGTTATACGCCGGTAAAGCAGCGTATAAATACTCGATTATCAAAGTAGATCAGTCAAAATTCGGCAACTCGTAAAATTTCACGTCAGTGATAAAAAACATAAAACGAGGCAGTGTTGCCTGCGGAATGTCCCAGCCTTAATGTATGGCTACGTTAATCCTCCAATTGGTACCTTTTTCATCTGTGGCTGTGTCCCGTGTGGCTATGTCAATACATCGCTGAAAACACTGACAAGGAGGTGGCTCACCCATATTATCGTGTTACATTTTAGCCATTATACTTGTTCAAACGAACATAATACCGATCGCGTACTGCTTTATAATCGCTATTTTTATTTCCTTTTTACTATGTACAGTATTATCTTTTATCGCTGCTATACGTTTGGCAAGCGTTCTAATAAGGCGGCAGTAATGTACAAGACCAATTCTGCTGGTAGGTGCATTAAACCGCAATTAGTAATTATGGGAAGCAGCGAAATATTGTGTCGATTCGCTATGATTACCCGTCAATTACTACTCTCCGGTGCCAAATCCTTCTCCTCCTCCGGATTTTCATTCCCATCCGTTGGATCAACTACGCTTAATAAGTACTCTACAGTTCTCTCATGGCCATTCTGCTGTGCTTCCGATATAGCAGTACGACCGGCAGTGTTTTTTATCTATTTCAGACGACAAGAGTCAGATTTCCATTTCCATGTGTGTGTAACGAATTAGTTGTAAAGTTACCTTGGCATTCACACCGTGTGTTATTAAAACTTCCACTATCGTTTGGTGTCCGTTCAAAGCACTCCAATGCAAGGCTGTATTTCCCGAGTCATTTTGAGCGTTGATAATCTCTGAAGCAGAACCGCCCAGTGTCTGTATTATATATTCGACAATTTCTTATAGAATTACATGGTATACTGGGTATGAGCGAATTGAAGTTTTCGTAAATCAACCAATTTGTGAATTTGAAACGCACCAAGATGTCCATTTGCACTTGCCATATGCAAAGCGGTATTCCCATATTCGTCCTTTTCCACAAGGTAGTCGGCTGAATATTGATCAATATAGGATTTTAGTTCGTCGAGTTCGCCAAAACGCGCACAGGCTATAACTTCGGAAACTATCTCCTCGTCCAAGGCCGTCATCCGTTATATAAAATTGCAAACAAGTACCATTGCTAGTGTGATGACAAAATTTTTGCAATTTACAAATGATCGACAATCCGATTTATTTTACTCTTGTTCACCCTTTTCAGGTTTGCACAATTTGTCCAAATCACACAAGACGTTCGTTTGGCGTGAGTTTTAAGCATTAATTAAGTAGCGCGAGAAGAACTATTAATGACAAACGGTGGACCTCCCAAGTTGCGTTATGCAACCCAGAAGCTTTGGCTGTGGCTGCATCGGCACATTCTCACAGAGCAAGTCATAGTAACATGGGTAGATTTCATGAAGGCATGTCGTTTGCACATTTCGTTGGCTTTATATTTCTTTTCCCTCTTTTTAGCTCCGGCTTCTTACGCCGATGTGTTATTCCTGGCCGTGCCGTAATTCCACAGCCTAATTATCTTCGCCAAATAAAAGATGTGACTATGCGCCCACCACGGATCCGTAAAGATCATTGGACCCCCTTAGCCGTGGTAGTTGGTTTCAAGAATAAATCAACCCCAATGTCGGTTAGCAATTTGATCCAAGATTACATTGCAAAACACCCCAGACCTCCATTCCCTACTACCATGTCCAAGAGAGAACGTAAAGTTGAGGAACAAAAACAAATCGAACCGACTTTGACGGCGTTGGGTTGGGCGATGAATGAAGCAATGCGTAGACAGTACGAGAGTTGCGAAAATATAATCAAGATCTTTTGGGAACGTGAATCATTGAAAGATATTCCAAAGCTAAAAGCTGATATTGATTGGCCAAGCAACATAGAGCATTCACGGTTGGTACTGGAAAGAGGACGATTCGTGAAGAATTTTGAATTGAAAAGGGAGGTACCAAGTGAATTGCAAAAGGAAAAGGAAAATAAGAGATTGGAAGCAATAGCCAAAAAGAGGCGGATATCGTACTATGTTGAGAAAGCGAGAAAAGAGCGAATCGCGCATGGTGAAGATGTGTCAAAGTTATCGCGCAGTCGTGGGAGTGTATATGTTCCTTATAAACCGTACGTCGGTCGTAGATTATATTGCTGTTAGTCTATCCAGACTATTATTGAAAATTATATTCGATATGGTAATGCTTATTTTAATGCCAAAAAGAGTGAATTCCTTCAATGCACGTGAACTATATGTATAAACTGCTTTGGTAGGCGTGATGTCGATCCTGTGACATTTGAAAGAGGGTAGCCACAAATAATTGGTATTGTACACAGCCACAGACAAGCCGCCCGACAAGATGGTTCTCGGAGTGTGGTTATAAAAAAAACATTTAAAGCATTAGCCTCCCCAAGTTTAATCAATCCCTTCATCTTTGCAATTGGATATCGTCAAAAAATAAAATGTCAAAAAATCGTTTATTCATCTTAATATCGACATTCTCGATGCTGTTCTCCGTCTCTGTTCAACAACAGCCCTGTGCCACGCAAATGGATTGTCCATTACGCGCACAAGGACAAGTATGCCAAGGGGGAACTTGTATATTACCCTGCGGGATGGTATCAAATTGCCCGTCTGACTACACCTGCTCCAATGGAATATGCATCCCATCGCCCACAACTACGACCTCATCTACATCCACATTCACACCCACGTCTACTACTGATTCGACCGCGAGTACAAGCTTTGTGAATCCTACGCCGCTGGAAAACGTAGAGGTGCCAGTAACAAAGGATACTTCATATGGAAACCTAGTGTTGGCGTTTGGAATACTACTCACAATCGCTCTTGTTTTTGCATTCGGATTCTGGTACTATCGTCGCCGACAGAGAAGACATAATTTCCATCGTCTGAAGACGAACCTTGGAACAACCCCAAGAAATTCTGTAGTATCGACAGGTAGCGCATTCACAGTAGCAACATCATCTCGCGCATTGGAGAACAATGACTTCTTAGATACAGATATAATGTCGCAGGTTGATAGGACTTCATTTGTGGGCGTGGAGAGTCTCACCCCGACGAGTAGTGGTGCTGGTGTTGGTACTCCTACTATTACGGTCGATAGTGGGTCTGCACGGCAAGTTTCTGAACAGAGAACCAGCGAACTTGACGAGTTACGTGATGATACACAGTTATCGTAATCAACTGTACAAAAGATGATCGAAAGTTTATACACATTTTCGTATATACATATATGTAACATGTAGTCGTTAAAGAATAAATATTCGTTTGTTAATAAACACCTACTTAGGCTTACCTGTGACACCAAAAATTACAACTTTCTGTAAATTTAGCTTAATATTTGCCATAAAGCCCGAGGATTTTTAAACGATTATTCGCCAACGCGGCTTGTCTTTTATTGGGTTGCGACTTATAACCATTATCTCATGTATAACAATTTGTATTGGGAAATTGTCGACCGCTGCTTCCGTTATGCGGGGCAGCAGATTGTTATCTCATTCTGTGGCGTTTGTGAAAAGGATAAGAACATTAGGGAAGACATTGCTCGGCCCAGTCGGTCATGGCGACTTTAGCATATCATAGTTTATGACAAAAAGGCATGAGCCAACGATCTTGAGGAGCAAGCGAAATAAAGACTTAGAAACTATTAACTTATATGACATATAGAAGTTCAACAAGTTGCAGTCAAGACTCGATATAGTAAAGTCGACGGGACGGGGTTTTTTCTTGACGATATCGAATATTTACTATATTGAATATTCTCGTTATAATAAAGTACAATACTTGGCATAAATCTTTACTATATCGCGACTGGCCAGTCTTGTGGTAGCATAATAATAAATGACTCAAACGTTATTTGACTCAAGATTCAATTGTGCTGAACGAATGTACTGATACTAATTCATTTCAAAAAACGGGGAAAAAATCGTAAAATTGACTATAGCACCTATTATTGTGTGATACTTAATGTTTGCGAACAAACATATCCAACACGCTTTGTTTTCTCGAAGCAAATTCCTTGGAAACAATTCTTTTTAAGTTACGACGCCGTCAACAAATGTAATGGCTTGTGCATAGGATAACGGCTCTGTCTCCAAATTTCCCCATCATCTGACTCATAATTCTTTGATTTCTTCGTCCGTTGGTATCTCACGAGCAGTTACATTGTCATCAATTACCATGTACTCCATTGGTTGATTAAGAGGCAATCGCTCAATAAGATTTTGAATTTCTCCGATAACATTAACTACATTGGATCAAGTGATAACTATCTTACCTTATCTTTGAAACGGTGTGCCTCGCTAGTGTAAATTGGCCAACACTTCGCTCTTTTAAACGACATATTTCAGCTTTCTGAACACCAGACAAACCTCTTCTTCCTGAACTGCCTCTCTCTGTAGGGTCTCTGTTTTAGCTTCATGCTGTTAAAATTCTCTCACTTTTATTTACCATGTGTTTGTATTATGAATCCATCAAGTGGTACAATCTTCTAATATTGTTTGAGAGAAACTATAACGCGAAATTTACTATATCGAGACTTACTATGAAACTTCATTTTATCGAGGCAAAATTTAATATTCAGTTTTTTGTTCAGAGGAACTCTTGCCTATAACGCGAAATTTACTATATCGAGACTTTACTATATCGAGTCTTGACTGCAAATAACGATATTTCAGTGTCCAGACTGGAATTTTTAAGATTTAAAGGGTTTCTTCATACTGAGTGACAAGATGTTCTGTTTTCTGTACAATTACTTTGTTTGCAGTATTTTTGTTACTTAGTATTAGGGAGGAATAATATTATTAATATGCAAAGAATACTTTTAAGGCTGTAATGTTATCTATCAAATTCAAAATGAATAGCACTTAGATTTAAGCATAAAATGAAAACAACCCTGCAGCGCGGGTTACGTGTTAACAATAAAGAAAATAAGTCAATGGTTTTGCCAATTTAAGTCTGGCGGCACGTCCAGTATAACAAAGCGTTTCGATCATGAACTTTAAAGCGAATACATAAACAATTCGTTTCGTTACAAAACCGTATTGATCACGTGTTTATTCGTTTCCCACGTGACTAAACATTAAAAGTTTTTTATTTGGTGAGATTTAATTCAATTTTTAACTCCTGCCAAGAGCGCGTTATTAGTTACGAAATCAAGCCATCCATTCTTTTCTTTTTTGAGCGGATAATGTTTCTTTTCGTTATTTATGTCAACTCATTCTCCATAATCGTGTGCAACAGGGAATACATCGTCGGAAGAGTATTGTAATCCGTCCAGCGGAGTTGTACTCATTCTACAGTGTTTCGAACACGTGCGAAAATAAGACGAAAAAGAAAAAGTTAGTGATTAAAAAAAACAAAATCAAATAACCCCTTTGGAGATAAACCCTTATTTTAACGTCTGATCAACACTACTGACAAAAACATATCCCTTCACCCACAAACATTTGCTGCTTACCCCCAGCGCTTCCTAGCTCGTTCGGCTTGTCTCGCTTTTTCGCTATTATTCTCCCCCTTATCATCATCATAATCATTAGCCTCGTCATTTTTATTCAACCAACTCAAGGCAGCATTAGTCGATGCTGCCCATACGGAAACGTCATTAATATGTGACTTGGATAATTCCGATGAATGTGGTACGTAGAAAGAGGACGGATGGTATGATTCGGAAGGGTTGGTGATTGGGGTGAGAGGTGGAAAGGCGACGGACTGGTACGGAGTCGAGGTATATTGGGATGAGAGCGAATCAGATGGCGTGTGTGTACGTGAATGTGAGGATGAACGAATTTGATTTGTTGGCGTTTGTGGAAATACAGGTGAACCAGGTGGAGATGGTGGGGCGTTAAGTGGTGTTTGTGGGCGCGAATGCGAAAACGGAAAAAGAGAATAGGTGTTCGTAGTAGAAGCTGTTCGTGAACTTGTCCGTAAAGGAGAGTCGGGTGACAAGGGTGGAGTTGGGAGAGGATATGAATTAGTTAACGCGAGAGGTTTGTATGGAAATATTTGTGAAGATTCAGTTGTGGGCGTAAATCCGGACATCTGCTTAGAAATATCTCGCTCCTCTCCGTCGTCTCTGTAATCCTTTACATCCCACACCCGCCCATCACTCATCATAGGAGAGAAAGACAGAAGCCTCGACGGTTCTCGTTCTGATAACTGTTGCGGTCGTTCCTCGTGTTCGGAATGTATCGAATTCGATGTTGAATTTATTGTCGATTCTGTCTTTGTACGCGTTGTTGTGTTTTCTTTGAAGGAGATAAATTATTATTAGTTAATATGCAATTAACAGAATAGAGAGTAATAAAAACAGGAATCGATACATGGCTTTACGTGTTCAATCTAATATTAATATCCAGACTCCCACCAACAGCGTTTTCTAATCTCAACACACTCACCAATATGATCGAAACTTATGTTAAGTCCAATGTTGCCCCAGCGCCTCCTCTTTTTGTTCGGGATATTGTCAAAAGCCTCGTCCTCGTCATCTGTATCAGGAGTCTCCCAACTAACTGCGGCAACCTCAGCGGGGGTAGCGGTTGTACTTGTCGTTGTAGTTTCAATCGTACGGGATATTTGATGTCGGTGAGTTTTCCGGAATGGCGATGTCGGGGTGGTCGGGGTGGTTGGTATTGAGGGAGTTGAGTATGCAGAGGTGCGCGATGGAGATAATTGTGAATTGGAGAAAAGTGATGAAAACGGTAGGGTTTTTCTGGATGATGTGGATGTAGGTGGTGCGGAAGTGTGTTGTACAGTCGACGAGTATGAGCTAGGATTGATCGATCGTCTGGCTTTTCAATACAATAGGAAGGGAATAAATAATATGGGAGAAAGCCCAGGTATCGGGTGAGATCACCGTCAGCTATTATTTGATGATATTCAGTTGTAAACATGGCTTACTCGTTTTTTCTTTTTTATTATGCTGTACACATGAAAATACAAGTTTTTTGCTCTATTTAATTGATGAATGAAAACTATGTTAATATACATGTATCAAAAGTTATAATATCAGTTACAGAATAGTTCATATTTTGCAGTCTATCCTATCCATAAATGACTTCTGCCATCATTGATTTTCATCATCGTCGATGCTTTAGACCTTACCTTTCCAAACCATTTTAGCAGTTTAATACCTTTCTGTTTAGTCTCCGATTCTACTTCAGTCATTGTAGACTATACGGGGAATGATAAGATTAATATTGTCGACTTGATCGTTTCTGTGATACGATTTTGATATTGTGATTTATTGAAAAACAAACATTGATGATGTTTAATGTACAATGTTAAATAGAGTCTAAATTTTAATTGAGTAATAATCGTTGTTATTGTAATGAAAATTATTGACTGTTTTGGTGAGTAGCAATAGGTTTTTGCACTTTCTTCTTGTTTGAGATCAACTCTGATTGTCAGTATTTTCAATTTTTCCCTTGCCAGTTATAAACCAAAATCCAGGTTAACTGGTGCTGTCCTGTCACCCAAATTATATATGAGCGGAGAATTGACACATGATTCTGCCTTCAGCCGAATAGTGCATTGAAATGATTGGATTGGAGAAGTACGGCATTCATTATAACAATATATGGTTAGACAGTTCTCATTGACGGCAATATAAATATCACTACTCGCGCCATTTTCGAACAATTCTACAGCATAGTTGTGTGTGACAAAGGCTGAGAATAAACAATGATAAAAAAAAGGGGGGTGTGCGAACAACTTTTCAACGTAAAGGAGAACAGGGTAAACGTTTCAAATGGTAACAGACAATGCCGGACTGATTGTCAAGGCCAAAGTGGGCCATCATTACCAAGTTGTTAAATGCAATGTCCGATGCACTCCTGTAGTGATATTTTATCTGATGTTTATCTCCGACACTACCATCCTGTCAATGCTGCTTTGTTACCCGTAAGTGATATTATTTTAATCTGCTCACTCATTTACGTCTCGTGAGTATAAGCTCACGGCATTTATTATTTGCATCCGGAAACAGCTTAGTGTATCGATATTATCATTATCATTCTTATGACATTGACATCTCGAAATTTAATAAAGATTATCATGTGTAACGTTGTTTAGGTGCATACAGTGACATTTAACATTAATATTAACGCTTTTTTCCAGCACAATGTCGAATGACAATTTTATTCAAAGGCGCAAGCTTATATTCCGCAGCAATAACCCAATTTCGCCAAGAATGAAGCCAAAAGATTGGTTGAAAATGATGTTATCAGTGTATATATATATAAATATAGCATATTGCCATAGCATATATTGAACGGTTTGGTTCGCGTTCCTTTATTGTTTGCGCCGTTTTGTATTCTGTGGGCAGGCTTTGGCTATTAATAGAGAGTGTGAACCGGCCTGATGTTTGGGCCGAGTCTTAGTCATCTTCTTTAGTCTTTGTAAGAAATAGTACTGGTGTGACCTCAGTATGAGATCTCAATTCCCATAATGAATGCATGCTAGTACACAGAATACATAGTATTTCTCATTTACGTGTTTCGCCAAAGACTCCCATTTCGTGTGACCTCGGATTTTGGTAGGCAGAATTCCGGTTATATGAACACTCAAGACTGTAACGAACACAGTTGTCGTTGCTGATAATAATGCCACCAATTCAACGCATATTCTACATTGGTCCTTTAATTGTAAGTATGATAAAAAGCGCATAGAAAATATGTCGTATTGCTGTGTTTGATGACTACGGCTATCTACGATAAAATAGAGCATGTTCGTTGACGAATGTGTGAGAGTACCATGAGGTACACATACAACGGATTGTTGAGAAATAAGTTAGAGTGATATTTAAGAAGATATTCGGTAGATAGAGAACTTGTACGCGTAAATGATATCGTCGATAATGAAATCGCAAGATTGGAATTCGGGTGGTTATGCAACAGTCCATACTGCCCAATGTAAAAACACCTCGAAAAGTTATACTGGATCTGAACGTTTTATCGCTTTTCTTAATAGGGCGTAAATTAAGCCAAACGTTTTGCTCCAACAAACTTAAAATGACAGTCAAGCAATTAAAACCCAAATTACAGCATTTTCAAAGACTTTATGGGGTTACGCGACAACAGGAGACACAGGACTACATGGTTATTTTGCATATTAGGTAATCTATGGATCAGAATTGTAGCAAAGTGACTTGGAAGGGTGATCTTGTTGGTGTGGATTGGTACATAGAAACCTCCATGGAAGTGACATAGTCATGGATGTCAAGCTCTGCCGTATTGAAGACTGTTCTCTTTATACTCGATCTTAGCCTAGCTCAATCAGAGTCTTGCCTTTTGTTGCACTACAAGTTTTTACCACGGGACAAATTCGCTAGAATCAGACATGTACTGCCTTCGGTCTTGTTATGTATTTGCTTGCTAGCGGTGAACCGTCATTCGGAAGTAGACAATCTGAGAATAGCCTAGTACAATGGATTATGATCAGAGATGCCTTATTCAACAATTGTGAAAAGATTGCCACGCTGCGACAAACGTCCAAATATCAATTCTCCGATAACTCATTTGGAATACCATCCATCATAACGACGCACCCGTGTCACGGTTTGAGAAAGAGAGTAAATATTCCATTAAAATCTTAACCTATTACAGATTCGGGAATAGATACGGCTTTGGCAAACTTATGTTAAGAAATGCATCGGTATTTGCATCTTTTTATTAATTGTGCGATCACATTTTTAGGAGTTAAGCCTGTATGAATAGGATCTTTATTTATACGTTCATCGAGGTACCATTAATTGGTTTTTTTAGCCTAATTTGAATTTTATTACTGCTATTTCCAATGTTTGCATAATGGGTTGAATTTTGCGCAATCGTTTATTATTTCGGGCAGGGAGGAATACTTTAATGTGCGCAACCTTATGAATCTAGTTGACATTTTCTCTGACTCAAAATGCATTACTACGATTCATTCAGTTCGACCTTTATGCAAGTGTGTTAGCACCGAGCAGTAAAGAAAAGAAAGAATTGTTAAACAGTTGGAGAAAATGTAAAAGAAAAAAACGATTGGACCAAAGTAAAAAACTAGCATATATTTGGCATTTGATGTTCCAAGAGAATTTGTAATTTTCGACATAACACAAAGCAACTTTATTGGATTTTGTGCATCATTGCTATGACCTGTTAATAAATTTAACCTATTACGACTATACATTTTTAGGTGATCAGCAATAACGTAATACAAGGCACAAACGCAATCTGATGATAAAATGCAAAGTCATTAACAATCGACTTGACCAACTTGCAGAACGCATATTATGAGCTGGTCAGTATAATTAGATCAATTTTATATCAATTCGAAATTGTAAACCTGTTCTACATGCTTTTTAATGGCTTATTCATAGGAAGGGCATTGTCAAGTCAGTCAACCGTCTTCCTCACAACATACGAACAGCGACTGGTCTGGGTGAATGTGCGTGTTATTTCTCTGCTAAGTGTGGCTGTCTAACATAGGTATTTCGTGCTTGTTGAAATTGGAGGGGAAAGAAAATGAAACGAAATCACTTCCGTTGGACTATAAAATTTTAGACGAAACGATATTTAAAGAGCTGCGAATACCCGTAAACCACATTCTCTCATAGCGTTTTTTTTGTTATTTAAACTCTGACACACCTATACTATTTTTTCAAACAGCAACCCGCGACTACAAATACGAAGAACTTGTTTCAGCTTTCGATGCATTGCAAAAGGACGCTTATAAACTCCACGATGAAGCTCGGAAATTTCGAAAATCTGTTTCCGGTATGTCAATAAGCATGTGCTTGCTTTTTACTGGAGATTGTTCGGACTGATGAATCCGCGCAAATTTGTATAGATTTATTTCTTCATGGAGCAAATATCGCCGAAATCTTGGTCGACATTTACAATCCAGTGAACGCAGATGACCGGAGCGAGGGGCCGGTTACCAGGCATCCGCAGACAAGTTCACAAGCTATGAAGGCTGTGCAGGAATATGCGACGCAGTCGAGAGAGCTACAGGAGACTATTGTTGCCGAACTGGTACTGTTCTTAAACTTACGTATTGTTGGCTTGGTTTAATTGGGCCAAATATCCACAAGTCTGTCTTCTGTTATAGGATTCCATTGATTCTTACGTCGTTCGGCCTATGGACGATCTCATCTCGGTAACCAAGTCCATAGCCAAGACAATAAAGAAACGTGACCATAAACGATCGGATTATGATAGGTACCGTAAAAGTTACAAAAAACTAAAGGAAAAGAAGGATAGGACGTCTTCTGAGGAAAAGAATCTATCAAAGGTGCGGTTAAAAAAAAAAATTTTTTTTTTAATATTTGAATGTGCCGTATGCTTCTTTTTTGTAACTTGTCTCTGTTATGTTTGTAGTTGGAGGATCAACTCGACAAGGCGACAGCTGTATTCGATCAATATAATGACGCACTCAAAGAACAAATTCCGATATTTTTTGAGTATTGTGGTGAATACATGGAGCCTATAACTCATTACTTTTATAACACACAAATGAGAATATATGCACTCTTCTATGAAAGCATGGAACGAATAGTGTCTGTGGAATATTTCGACCTTGAATCAGACATAGTTGAGCGGTATGAGGAAAAGATAGGAGATGTAAAGTCGCACATAGAATCTCTGGCTACCTTGACAGGGAGACATGGCAATAGCGGTAAATGACTTGTTGATACGCGATTTCAGTTTGGCAACTTCATGGAGTATCATGTTTAATGCTTTTATCTCCGTGACTCTTTGTAGGTGGACGTCTTACTACAAAAGTCGGCGAAGGATCAAGATCGAATAGGAGGTCAGATTCAAGATCGCCTGGACCAGTGTCACGGGAATACTCCCGGAATGCAGACAAGGACTTGAAGAGCCGCAAATACGACCGTGACCGCTACGATGACGACTACGATCACGAAGATGATCCACCGCCGGCGTATAGTTCAGTGATATCATCATCTCCAACCCGAAAAGGAAGTTCGTACAATATTTCTTCGAATCCGAAATTGTTTCCCGTAGCCGCCCCTCCCCGGCCACCGCCCGCCACTAAACCAAGACCAAAAAATTATGTAACCGCACTGTACGATTATGAAGCACAGGCAGAGGGCGATTTGTCATTCAAGAAGAACGATAGAATAGAGGTGATAGAACGAACAGCGGACGCTAATGGATGGTGGACTGGGAAATTAAATGGAAAAACAGGTTTATTTCCTGGTAAGTGTAACGATGTCGTTTTTGATCATGATGATTGTGAATCTTACAAATCGATCTTGTTACAACAGGAAATTACGTAGAATGAATGCGAGTGCAGTTGTTATTCCATATTTATATTCTATTACGTGAGCATAACATTTAGGTAATTGTTAGTGAACACAATAATATGTTTTGGTTTATTTATTGTTCAGTAGACCGACAAAATAGAAATCCTTTGTGAAATGCGGAAAAACCTTTATAATGTAAAGAGACTAAATGATGAATAGGGCCCACGATACGGTACGGGTCATCAAACTAGCCTAGTTCAAAGGATAAAAATTCTGATTGAACGTCATCTCGTTTTATTGAGTGGATCCCGTCAAAGGCACCCATGCTACCAAAAATTAATAACCCGTTCGTCTAAATGATATCGGGAGCTTGATATTTTATCGAGAATCCTGGATTAGATACCCCATCCTCTGGAAAGCCAAATCGCGAGCATGAGCAAAAAAATTACCTATGAGCTTACGGGTAAAGTTGATCGTTTTATCGAGTTTAATAATATAGATTGACTCGAATAAAGGTTAACTCTAAATTCGATTATGTCACTATAAGCTGGTACATCCCGTATTTCGTTAATGTACGGGTCCTCTGCTATCGTTCGATAAATATTGAACAATATATCCTTCCTAAAAGCTTTTTGGAGAGAGCTCACATCGTAGCCAACGTTTGAAACGTACATTTTACTTTGGGTCATGCCATTCTTATTAAAAAGGTTTATGCATTATAAATGTGTGTGTGTGTGTGTACTGACATCAAATCATCCCACCAGTTTTGAAACCAATCATATAAATTTTCTTTGTACCTCTTACTTTTTTCCCACCTGTTTGTCGGGAAGAGACTTATTTCTTAACTCCTAAGAGCATTTAAAAGCATGTAATTTAGAACTTACAAACAAATTTAAATGTAAGATTTGTACCGCGTGTATATGTGAATGTTACTAGCAAAGGTTATATAACAGTGCATTTGAAAGGGAAATGTTCACATAATCTACATTAGAATATATATATTATTTACAAACAAAGGAATATGCGCTATAAACAGAAAGTTTTTTGAATGGTTTGTCATAGAATTGTTCCTCTTTTACATAGAATGTGTTTTTTGAATCATAATACAAAGTAAAATTGGAAGCGATGTCATATCCTCACTTATTGGTTTTCTTATTGAGATCATCAACAGTAGTCTCTTTTGCGCCTAATAAAGGACACGAAACAACAGTAGTCTCTTTAAGAGGTTTATTATTGTCAATTTGGCACTTTGTACGCGCTTGGCCATCGACTTCAGGTTCGCGATATTGGGCTTCTGATAATGTTGCTTTCTCTACACATTGTTGTTGCTTTTGTTGCAGCTGTAGCTGTTCTTGCTGTTGTTGATGAAGCTGCTCTCGTTCCTCTTGTTGGTGTTGCTCGTGTTGATGAAGCTGCTCTTGTTGCTGTCGTTCATGTTGGTGTTGCTCGTGTTGATGAAGCTGCTCTTGTTGTTGTTGCTGTTGCTGCTGCTGCTGCTGCTGTTGCATTTGAGACAATGCATGTTTCCGCGCCATTTTGGCAAAATCTAGATTATTCAGTAAAATGAAAATTGGCATTTTGTTATCATTTTCATAAGAATAAAAAAAATATTAATAAAAAGGTGAGAACGATACGAACGCAATCCACATGCATTACACAGGGTCCTTGCACCATCTGGACCTCGTCTCCACTCGGGCGTCTCGGATATGTGGCATGAGTGACATCTACCCGGAGGTGCAGCACGCTTCTGTGGAACAATGCGGAAAAAATTACGTGAGTACGGAACAAAGGGTCTTATGCAAAAGGCAAGATTTATACTGTGCATGCAGGTTCATAAACTGTCATCCACAAAAGTAAATCAACACGATCTTTGAATCTTTATAAGACACTGATCAGTGATGTGTGTGCATTTAAAATTAAAAATTTTACTTACGGTCCGTTTGCGGTATTTTCGCCCCGAGGGGTTGGAATCCGGCACTTGCTGGCAAAAGCCGTTGTCCTCTCGCTTTAATAGTTAACATATGATACAAATTAATCTTTGATTTGCAAATATTATTGGAACTGCTGTACATCAAGTAAAAGATTATAAACTAGAAAATGTATACGTATATGTATAAATATATAGATAGATACCTCGCTGCTGGTTCTATTAATGCCAGTTTTCAATACTTTCAAAACTTGTACAATGTCATGTGCCCTGACTAGTAACTCGTCTACAGCATTTTCTGGCTGGAGCGGGTGTCGAGTTGTTCCTCCTGATCGCACATTGGCCCAAGGATACAATTGATCATGAAATTGAGTTTTTATCTCACCAATATAGTGAACTGCGGCTTGATTAAACGCAAAGATTTGCTCTCTTATCTATGTAACAGAGTGGGAATATTTTGGTTCATATTTTGAGTATCAAAATATTTCATTCGAACAGTATTATACCTTATCCAATTCGAGTATTGTTTTCTCATGAGTCCAACTCGACGATGAATGATGATTATATGGATAATTGGATGAGATACTACAAGAAGAGGAATAGATTGGCGTTTTCGATTCAATGCAAGGGTAAACAGAAGGTTTAGTTGACAGAGGTGGAGTCTGCAATTGCTGCTGGGAAGACTGTGAATGAGCTTGAAGGGAAAGTGCAGACGAGGATGGTGGGCTGTTCCAGCCAGAATGCGTTTGCGGGGACATGTTTAGTGGGGCAAAGTTTGTAGAATGAGAGTTCGGGGGTTGTTGGACCCGCGACGTTTGCTGGTTAGCATTATAGGGAGGAATTGCAGGCGGAGGAGAAGGAGAAGGAATGTAATGCGAGTACTTGGGTTGATGTGAATGCGACGCGGAATTAATATTGATCGAAGGAAGTCGAATGTCAAGTTTTTTAGTTGCGAGACATGCAGGAGGTGATAGAAGATGGCTGCCAACGACATCTACACGGTGATGAGGAACATGAGCTGTTGATCGCCTGTTCTCTTGTCCTGAAAAAGGAATGTTGAAAGGGGTGGTGATTAGCCTCGGCTTGTCTTCATTTATTTTTGTATGATGCGAATCTTGAGACGGTAGCGACAATAATTTCGTTGGGGGAAGTGCGCCTCGACTGGGAAAATCAAGTTAACGTAAAAATCATTAGCCAACAATTTATGCGACTTAATTCCTTAATCTAAATAAGAAGAGGGGAGGAAAGTCTTACGAGGCAGTCGTCGCTTTTTGCGTAAAATTTGTGTGTGAGGAGTGGTCGTAAGGCGGTGGAGAGGGAGTTGGAGGCAGAGCCGAGCATATTGATGCAACGTCCATTTTCCTTCTTGTGAGAGTTGTGGGAAAGGAACACACCAAAGAAAGTTCTGTGAAAGGTTACGACTTGTTTGGCCAAGGTGTATATATGCTAGAACGAGAAGTAGGATTGCAATTTAGAACATACCTGTATATTTATATGTAGTATATGTACCAATCTAGATTCTTTGTAATTTGGTGGTCGCGCCCTGCGGGATTATACGAAGGGACGAAATAAATAAACAGGTTACAAGACCAGGTAAATGGGCATATAGGAAAAAAATAGTCGAGTTGAAAAAAGCCGGAAATCACAGATGTTATATATCTTAGCGTAATGGATCAGGGCATAAGACAATCACATATATATTTTCCTTTTTCTTTTTTGAGTTGTGATGGACATATAAGAATGCGGCACAATGTAGGACAGTATAATATAAATTGATGTATAAAATAGTTTGATGCAATATTATATTAACATACTACATTAAATACGTAAATACAATTCAAACGATTGTATAATTACGAGTTGCGTAAAGTGTCTGGTAAATGTGTGACATTGAAGATGAATTGCCCCACTCGTTCATTGTGAGATCAACCCGCCTGGATCTCTTGTGTAACAAGCTTTAGATATAATTAATATGTGAATTTTATATTGAGTGGTTATGTGAGATCATTGTGATGTTCCCGATAAGGTTTGCAAATCCCTTTATGTTGAGGACCGTACACATATTATTGTAATGTGATATATAAGAACGTGACAACAGAAAATATGTATATTGAGACAGTATATTCAATTTAGTGATTTGACATTAGACATTTGAATGGACGTAGAACGTTGCACTCACCAATTTATAATTAGATACTGATCTGACGTTTCCTCCCCCTCTGTTAGGGTGATAATACGCAACTATGATTGTTGATATTCTACGACATTCGAAAAAGAAAAACGTTGCAGGCCAAGAAATGTCAGTATTATAAACACCCCCCTAACAAAGAACATTTATGATATTTCATCTAGATTAAGCACCCCGTGTATATATTAGTAATAAATGTTAACACGACCAAAACAATATTGCTATTTGGGTTAATAGGCACACTTCTAAGCGTTGATGCATCTGGCTTTAAATGTGTATGCTACAAAGTACTGTTGTTACTTAGCACGGGTCCTTCCCAATTATATCAATTATAATCACGGTATGCTTTCCTCGTGGCAGTCTACTTTGGCATTGAACATCTGATTGTCTATTGACCAATGAAATCTGATCGGCAATGTGGGTGTATGCTATGCCAAAGAAGGTAAACAAACAATTACTTTCCTTAAAAGAAAAAACTGGTTCGTGTTCAACGTAATAGTAATACTTGGCAAAGTATTGCAAATTAGAAACACCCCCCTCTCCGTCCCAACTTATCTATTCGACTATACGAAAAAGGCTGTCTGCACGAACATCACTAGAATAACCTCCTTACTCCCCCTCTCACACAGGAGCGCTAGAATACGATGACAACTGTTAATAGAGTTACCTGTAAACTTACCTTAGCCTTAATATATAATTGTGACAACTGTTACTTACGTCATGTGATTAAGTTTACCAACAAAAAACGTAATAGCAATATTATAAGATTATCCTTTATTGGTAGATGCATACAAATATGTAAATGCACACGAATGAAGCCACAAATAGAATATGTATACGGCGCAGTACTCGCATACACGGTTATTACCGTTATCACGTACATCTACGATAACTTGCTTGGCATTTTTACATTTATGTCCTAGTCCCATTCCTTTATCTGCTGCAAAGATAAAGTCACACACAGATGCTACATCCGATGTGTAGTACGTGACTATATGAATAGATGCATGTTGGTGGAACTAGAGTGCGTTTATTTATGTTGAGTGCCTGTGCCATTCCCAATTCGTTGTTTAATAATTAACTATATAGATTTACATGCAGTCTGGAGATAGAGTGTTGTTTCTAGCGTCTCTGTTTATTTTTACTTTATAATATTTTTAACGATTGTCTACTTTACTAAACAGGGTAATGTACAAGGAGTTGCGACAATTAAGACCACGATTCGGAGAGCAGGCGTTATATTGTTGACAAACTGGCCTATGCAAGCAGCTATTATGCACTGCATTTGAGTTATTAGTAATCGTATACTTAATCCAGCAAATTTAACCAACACAATGAACAAAGTTCTGCCCAACAGTTGAACAAAGAGAGTCGAGTGTTTCCGACATAGCACCTTACAGGTTATATAAAATGTTCTAATTGTAACGTTATTGGTCATTATTAGTCTTAATCCAATATTGACAATTTGTGTTCAGCCCATCCGGTGTTAGTTCAGGTCTCTTGTTAAACAGGTGTCCAAGTTATACATGTAAGACAATTTTATGTGAAAACTTGCATAAAAAAAAGCAACTTTTTACAATTTTACAATTTCTATACTAGAGTGCTTTTTTTTTAATCACACAACAGTCAAATTTATCCGTTAGCAAAGTTAAAGATTACGTCATAGAAATAAGCTAACAAAGCCCAAAGATACAAGTTTGCAGATAATCAATAAGGAAATGAAGAGACATTTATTCATTCAAGCTAATAATTCAAGAATTTTATTGAGTGGTTTTTTAGTAAACATTTTACCCCACCATAACATATTGTTAGAAACGACTGCGTTTGGAAAGCACAGGTAAAAAGTTATTCCGAAACTTTTTCGTAGTTTGGTTTATTAATCATACACTAGTCTGATAAAGTGTTTCGGCACCTATCACAACATGGGGATCTGCGATCGATGACACACAATCTCTTATTGTGCCATCTGTAGTATCGGAGATCTTTTAGGCACTCAAGTTACATTGATAAGCAGTCATTACGATATCTGACGTTATTTACTGTCACACCATCGCGTATACTTGGCGGTGTATCCAAATTATAAAGCATGCCAAGTAATGTGTTCACAATAATACAGCATCGCACACCCTCCTTTTATAACAGCTATGTACAGAACAGAACAATAGACTATATCGATAAGATGCAAAAGAGGTAAAGTGGGCAGTACATTTAAACATAAAGTCGATTTCCCCAAAACAAGTACATAAAGACCTACAACCCGAGATTTTTGGAAATACCTTAGCAGTTATGTTAGTAATTCTATTGATTACGCACAATTTGTAAGCTATGAAGCATTGGTGATGAAATATAAAAATCTTAACCCGTATTGGCAAAGATGCCAAATGGCGGTGCTTATTGCGCACATTTTCCTGCTACTGTGTACGGAAAAGAATTAGGAATAAAAGAAGAATGAAACACATGGTTTTATAGTTATAGTGTAAGATATGTGGAACAAGCCATTCTTGAGTTTAATTTTTTGATGACTAAATGATGCGGTGCACATGTCCAAATTATATTAGGAATTTACATAGCAATAAGATGGTCGGGGACCTGGCTCTAGAACGTTACTTAATACAAAGAGCAATTGTAATATTGTTTTTCGAGTACGACGTGAAATTATAAAATCACAATCTGCTTATTTAACACGATAATAGAGGCAAACAAAGACTATGTATTATACGCTATGTCTATCTGGTTGACTGTATCTATTATACAGTAATATAAAATAGAATGGTATTGTGAGAACGAGGACAACCGCCTTCTTAGAATTTATTTATGTCGCACAAAATAGCAGGTAACCTGCTTTCAACATCTCACAGACTGCAAATGACGGTAGAAACGAAGCCACTCTTTCTCGAAACAGAGTCGTCAATTAGTTTTGATAATATATATAGAAAGGAAAAAAAATTACCGACAACAATGGGTTCATTAAGAATTCTAACATGTACAACCAATCAACGTCAGTGGTGCTTTGAATTATGCATCGCATCGCATTGCAACAAAGTATCAGTTAAGTAAACAATTTTACCATAGCCACTGCATTTGGGGTAACAAAACCAAAGTGTTATTATTAGTATGTGCTTGGCGTTATGTTGATTTAACTTATCTTCTGCATCACAAAATACCCATGACTCTCTTTTGTCGATGATCATCTATCTGCATGCCATGGGAAAGTGCTCTCTTCTAGACACAAGAGTTGTCATATTTGCATTTCGCTCCTCGGAAATGAATTGCAGAAGCTTGTTATTATTCATTGGGGTGGTCGAGTTTTTAGCAGAAAGCCACAAATTTCTTGCTTCTTTTCAACTCTTTCCAATAGCTTCAAATAATAATTGCTTCCCACTACAACTAATACTAACATTATCGTCCCCCAATTGTCAAATATTCTTGCCTAAAATTATTGTGCGTGTTATATATAACTGCTGTACTTTTTTTTTTTTCGGCAACAATGTCGTCCTGATTCTCGAGGTTGCAGTTCTTTGCCCTTCTTCTTGGTAGAATGACATAGAGGTTTGTTGCGAAAGTATATGCTGATCGTTATCATAATAATAATGGTTTCATAATTTAAATCGCTAAGATACGGAAAATGAGATATCTCCCTCGTATCTTTCAATGGATATTTTTTAGACCAATCTTTAGTGCTGGTCGTCACTACTTTTACGTGTGTTTTTAGGGCTGTATTAGCACGATTTATTTGACAATCGAAATCAACTGAAGAGAAAACCGTTGCTTCAACCAAGGTTTTTAGCAAGCAGTTTTAGAGGTCCACCTTAGTTGCGCCTAATAAAGGACACGAAACCAAGGTTTTTAGCTGGGAGAAGGTAAGCTTTTCATACGAGTGCTTTGGTTTTACTTGACATGAATTAGTTTAAGCACCTTATTTTGATTACAAAAGTTTTGGTTATATAATGTGAATTATCAATGCTCGATAATTCTGATTTGACAAAGAAAAAATAGAGATTGTGATGAAATGTGGATATTCTTGACATTCTATTACTATTGCTGTATTCTTTTCCTTAGACCTCATACATAATTGTTAACACTTGAAAGAACTAATTAAAAATTAATACAATAACCATAGTCAAATCTCATTATGAAAATGATTCTTTTATGACATTTAATCCGTTAATGTAAGCACTGAATATTAATATAATAAAAATACTTAATATAATAATAATGCATCCATATATTTATATTATTATTATGTTTGCTTTACTGTAAATTACAGTTATTTACTGTCGTAATGTTTAATATCAATTCTTTTGTCACGGTGAGTTTGATTTGTCCTCAATTAATAAACATATGAATACAGTTCGGGGCTTTTATCATTAATTTGTGGAAATAAAACACTTTTATTGTTGGTTTGGATGGACATTTAAGTATGTATCTACCCTTTTTTATAAGAATATCAAGACTTTCTATTCACATACCTGTAATAATAATCTTAATTATTACTATCACTTTTATTTCTAGTACCAATAAATCGGAGCCCTTCCTTACTTCTTGTATATTTTCGAGTTAGCTGCTACTATGGTTGGTTATGTTTAAGTAATTCTTTCCAGTAAAAAGTTTATGATAAACATTCTGGACTGAGCTAGACACTTATTAGTTTATCATTATCATGTCACATGATAGTCTATCAATATCAAGTCACGCGACAAACGCGAACAGAAATTTCCCCCACTACCGACGTACGCGCTCCATCTTTAAAGCTTTATTTATCTGTACTTAGCGTTGTGAATAGAAGTTCCTCACAATACTTATACCTGCTGTTTACTGACAGAAAGCATACGAACATGAAAAACGGCCGACGATCAAGTTTACACATACGAGGGCGAAGAGCATCTTCTATTGGAAATGGATTTACAGGTAACTTTATCAGTCGCTGTGCATTCGCATCATATAACCATATCATGCTAGTTCACCAAGATTACTAACCTTATGATATTGAAATGGTTATCGCGATGTCTACCCATTGACTGTTATTGTTTGCAGCAAAGCCTCACGAAAGTGTGGACCCGAAGGATTACTATCGACATATAAATGTAGATATGCCTGAATACAACAGAATGAGGCAATTGCTTATTTGGTGCGGTCAAAGGACCCTCGAGCGTCAGAAATCTAAAAGTAGAAACGCGATCAAGATAGGTAACGGCAATCGTGTTGCTCCTGTCTCATTACGAATAGCCATCGTATCTAACGATTCGTGCTAAACACAGCAAAAACGGTAGAAGAAATAGTAATTAATGGATTGATAAGTGGGCTAATCAGTCCGTCATGGTATACTCGAGAGGTAATTATCAAAGTTCTATGCGTTGGAGTTTAAGTCAAGTCATTCGAATTCGTCGTTGATGCTTAGGATACCGAAGACCGTGCCGATAAACCAGCGATGAAGCCCCATCCTGGAAACATTATGAACGCCAAGCGATTGGAGGAATACAAAGCTATCTTGGAAAGGTCATAAAATGATGGTCAGCAGCCTTACAAATAACATCATTATTCACCTTTGTCTGATTTAAATGTTTCATCACAGGCTCCAAACAGAGGAGGAACAATTGGTGTCATTAACCACACAATATCACACTCTCCATGCACGACTTTTGGATTCGTGTGCTCCGTTACCGCTTGATGGTGGGCCGATCAAAATGGCGATAACAGATGTTGATTTATCACCACTATCAGAAGAGGATCGCGCATTCCTGACAGAATATTGTTCTTCTGATACGGATGGTGAACGTGAATTGGATGAATCAGTAAGAGCACTCGTTGAACGTTATCCATTCCAGGTATTGTTTGGAAAATGTGTTTCTTGCAATCCTTTTATTAGTTATTTGTATAAGAGTTACGAATGTTTTGACATTAATACCAGATCGATAACCTGAGGAAAAGACTGTATCAGGCTTCTATTTTTGATGAAATTACGCATTTATATTGCGAGCAGCTTATGTCTAATTTGTTGGCTACTGTTCGTAAGAGAAATGAAGGCAACATGCAGACAAAAGCGGAATCGGGCGACGTGTTGAGAGCATTAACTCGAGCAACATTGTGTTGATAATAAATTAAGAGGGATTTTGTGTCATAATCTTTTTCTGTGAAAAAGAATACATTGCTTTCTTGTCAAGCCTTGGCTTTGCAAAAAAAAATTTCGTGTCTCCGCGTTTTTTTGGATCGTGGCTTTCGTATACGTGTGGTTTTGCGTTTAGCCTTGTGACTAAGACAAACAAACAAGGTCTACAATACCAATTCATCTCGGATCTGACAGTGAATATTGAGTTATCGGATAGTACTCTTGTTCCACTGTTCTTTTTTATAACATTAATCATGGTCATTCCTTCCTGATAAGTGGTGAGCTGCACATAATTTTTGAAAACGCTTTTTAGCCATTTCCCAAAGTTGTGTGGTAAAATGGCTTGCCGGTCATTGGGTGTCAGTCTAAAATAGCCTGTACCACAACTTTGCTTGAAGTCACAACGAACAAAATACGAATGTTAACTGGCATAGGATTAATAAATAGAATCAAACCTTTTAATACTGGTTCGCTAAAGAATGGATTGCAGAAGCTGATCACTATAATTTGGTAGGTGAATAATATCCGCTGAAATGTTCATCTTCAACAATTGAGACTTTTTCTTTTCAGAATAGCAGTTACATTGACTGCACAAATCAGACGGATGCCCTACGGATCTGGCACCACTAATACCATGCTTCTTTAACGGCAATGCTTAAAAACCATGTTTGACAACTTCTAGCAGCACTATTGCTCCTCTCTCATGCATGTAATCTATGTCTTTGGTTTCACTTGGTTCTTGCCCACGGAAAATCTATTCTGCGACGTTGATTGGATGCATTTTAATATATTCGTTCATCATATATCATATATACAAAATCCCATTAGTATAATTTCCTATTATTGCAATAATGCAAAACTACACAAAAATAATATACGATGGAAAATTTTCTGCTAATGGAAGAGACTCCAATCCACGACTCGGCAAATTAAATGAGATGGAATCATGCGTGAACAATAAACTATTATAAATAACTAATCTTCTAAATATGTCAAATATGCAGATGAATCTAACTATTAATAAATAATAAATAGGTATAATGTATGCAAATCAACGAAGAACATGGAACATGGTTTGTCGCTTCTCAGCACGAATCTTTCTTCGTTGTTGAATTTCCATGATATGTGTCTCACAATATTGACGATCCTCGAAATTATAGTACGTTTCGGTTAGTGGGTCGCGACAAGTCTATGATGTTGAGATATCGATGTTAGCACTTCTTTCCATAGAACTTAAAACTCTAATGAATATCAAACAAGAATTACTTACAAAGCAGGTAAAGCAAGTTGGATGATATCTCCAGCCTTCTACTGTCTGTGCACACGGACCTTCAATTGGATCATCACAATTTTTACATAGCGAATTGTTGAGTTTGTGATAATGACGCTTACAATACGGTGCGTTATTGAATACGTAAAAGGATTTGTTTGGGAACGGTTTACGACAAGTCTAAATAATAAACGGATGAGTAATCAATACGTGCCAATGTATACGAGACCTGAAAACAGTTGACAATTTTGCGATATTTTACCTGACAGCAAAAGCAACTTGCATGCCATTTGCCCTCTAATTTTCCATCACTCGAACTCACTGCCTTCTCCACCGGGCGATTGCAAGCACGACATTTGGGCAGGAACAAATCCGTGAAATCATGGGGACAATATACTTGGTCATTTTTTTCTACGTGTCCAACGTCTGGGTCAATTGGTTTATTACATCGCGCACACAAAAGATGGTGAGGATGCCATAATTTGTTTAATGCTCGCAAGGGATTAGATAATATCGGTCCATTACTAATAATAGCGTAATATAGGAATATCAACATGATTACATCTAAATAGTGATTGCAAGATACTTCATAAATGATAACATACCAGTAGGCACAGATATCGTTTGTAGCACTTGCGTTTCGTGAGTGATAGGCGCTCTTGCTATCATATTCGTTCGCAGATGTCGTTGAAAGACTACCCATTTCCTTGAGCAGGTCGTCCATCAGCGTCTCGACGCCATCGGTATTTCTAGTATTCGCAGTGCTTACGGTATCTCCACTAAATTTCCTGCCTAGTTAACAATAACAGTTATTGATTAATATATTCGTGCAACAAGCTGAATTAAAAATAACAAAATAAAATAAAATAAAATAAAAACCTCGTGATGATTGCGTAGAATCTAATGATGAGAGAGATCCACTAGCACTGGGTGTTCTGTTATGTTCGGGAGATGATGGTGGCAGATAGGGTCCGGATGATGGAATATTATTTGGATCGTTAGATGCTTTGCGAACTGGCGGAGACCTATTATTATTTTCGTATCCATACTGCTGATAATTATTCTGCCTCCCATAGGAAGGTTTCCGGGAATGCTCGTAATCAGTATTTGACTGTAGCGGGTTAGGATTAGATGGGTTATATTTTCTATCGTAATCGTTTCTATCGTTCGATCGCTCATAGCCACCCGGCGATCGGCTTCTTGCAGAATAGTCGTCCTGTTCCCCTCTTACCCAGTCCTTTGCGTTGTTATAACGATCATTAGGATTCATATTATCATTTGTACGATATTGGTCGAACCTTTCATCAGAACCGGTTTGATCTCCATCAACACGATATTGATCACGCATCCTATCTGCTCCAGGTTGGTCTCCATCAACACGATATTGGTCGAACCTCTTAACCAACCCAGGCTGATCCCCATTAACGCGATATTGGTCGAACATCTTATCTGACCCAGGTTGATCTCCATTAACACGATATTGGTCGCGCATCCTATCTGACCCAGGCTGATCATTAGTACGATATTGGTCGCGCATCCTATCTGATACAGGCTGATCATTAGCACGATATTGGTCGCGCATCCTATCTGATCCAGGCTGATCATTAACACGATATTGGTCACGTATCCTATCTGATCCAGGCTGATCATTAACACGATATTGGTCGCGCATCCTATCTGATCCAGGCTGATCATTAGCACGATATTGGTCGCGCATCCTATCTGATCCAGGCTGATCATTAGCACGATATTGATCGCGCATTCTATCTACTCCGGTTTGATCTCCATCAGCACGATATTGGTCAAATCTCTTATCTGACCCAGGCTGATCTCCATTAACGCGATATTGGTCGCGCGTCCAATCTGCTCCAGGTTGATCTCGTGTTTTATCAAAGCCATATACATCTCGGTTTCTCTCGGGCGCATACTGGCCACGCGGGTTATATGAATTATTAGGGGCAGTGTTATTGAAAGTATTTCCTTGTCCAACCCCATTAGGATTTGGTTGGTAAGGTCCCGCCCGCGGCACCGAAGGTTCAGGGAATGTTGCGTTACCGAAATAATCGTTTCTGCTGTTATCAGGATATGGAGCTTCTACTGGAGAAGTTGTGAATTGGTTTGTAGATGTCTCTATGGATTTGCCGGTAAGCTTATTATATTTTTTCAGGAAGGTGGTAGGTGGGTTCCCGCTGACGAGACGCGTAGCCTCTGGAGGGTTGTTGTAATTTGCTGGCATACCCGAATACCCCGCATTTACAGGCATCGAAGGAGGATTTTCGTATGGGGAACGTGGTGAAATCGGGGAGCGTGGTGGTTGCCCATAATTGTTGTATGGATTCTGGCCTGTGATAGATGGGAATGGAAACATGATTACATCTCTTTTCGTGTTTGTGAAAATTCCAACAATAACTCTGTTAGTAATTGACTAGTCAATTGATGCTCTCATACCAGGAACCGAAATAGGATTAAGGCTTGGTTTTGAATTATTGCTATTATCTAGTTTCTTTATGCCCGGAAATATCATTGGAGCGCCTGAAATGGAGGAAATATGATAGAAACGTGTTAGTTGCGAAATAGAGAAGTTGCTAGCAATTAAATACTAAAATAGATAACTCTCACTCTAAGTGTATTCCGAGCAATCACCCAAGCCTTACACAGTGACTATCGTACAGTCTTATGTAAGGATGCAGTGAGATTGTCTGCTGTCGACGAAGGATTTGATGGCATTAAACCTACCTGGATTGGGACCAGTCGAAGAACCCATATTACTTTTAAAAGCTGCTGGTAAAGTGGGAACAGCTGGAGCTGCCTTGCAGATATGTGAACTCAACTGTCGAAACTCTACCGGAACTCCACAATCAGAGCATTTTACTGTTGCTAATATCTGGCTAATGCGTTCTTTCTGTACATCCATATTATAATTGTAATGTTTTTTCGCCAGTGGCAAAGAGAAAAAAGAAAGAAACGGTTGAGAATGAATTGAAAGAACGTCAAAAAATGCGGTTGTGGAGTTCAAATACATACATGCAAAGAGACCCAATTGGGTAATCACCAATTTCCGGCTACCCCCCAATTCTCAGTAGTAACAACATCTGTGCAGCAACGTTCCTTCTTTGGATAGTGTCGAATTCGTCTAATAAATGTCTTACTTATTAAATTTGGCAGATTTCCTTATACGGTAAATTACGGTAATTAATGGAATGCAAATCTCGACTAAATTTGGTGTTGATATGAACTAAATATTAAAAACATGTAGACAACAAACTGTGGGCATTTACAATAAAAGTTCTAAAATTGCGTATTTAATTTTTAAAACCGTTCAGGACACCCTTTTCTGAACTACTCAGATCGACAAAAAAATTAAAGTTATTTAATGAATGTTAGTTAGATTAACGGACTAGCCGAATAAACAAACTTGTTATCTGCAACTTGGTAATCTGTCTGAATATTATTAATATTATTAATCCATGTCTAAGCCATCTTTGTAATTCATTCGAAACCTATAGAAAATTTTATTTACCTATTTTGAGCGCCTCCGTGCGACTAAAATAACAACCTTCAGTCGGTACATTCTAAGACATCGAAAACTCTCGGCTGTTACATCCTGCGCTCAATCTCGAATCTGTAATGAATCCATCTATGAAAGATTTTATATAATATTTGACGAGCAATGAAAGGATTGTAGAAACTGCGCTTACATACAACTGTGTATGTATTCCTCTAAAAACGTTTTGAAAAATTTGATTAATATTCTGATAAAATTAGTTAAACCATTCCTATTTCCTAATTGGATCATGATTAACAAGTGCATTAAAAATATTACCATTACCATCGAATGTGCCGGAATATCGACTCTAAATTCGGGAATTAGGATACTAGTATAGAATGTCGAATAAAATAAAAATGGACATATTTGTCTTATAAAACTCGGCTCCTAACATTATAAAGCGACGTTATTTAGTAGACATTATAATTATTAGACCTACCGCTATGCTCTTTTATTCTACTAGATTGTTATTGTTTGTGTTCTTGCCTACCATTCACAGACCACAAGATATACACTCAGTCGTACAATAATTGTGTGACATGTGACATGCACCTTCATATCCTTTTTCCGCGAGTTGTACTCATCGGCCGAAAGGAGACAAAGTTCAAGGGAAGTTTTGTGTTTATGCCCACAATCAGGAAAGTTTCGGAAGTTGGATTTGTCACCAAATACACAAATTGTTCAACGCCATAAATGTATAATGCGATACCACCCCTATCATATCATATGACAATTTGTTACATTGCAATAAATTCTCTTCGATTCCGAGATGTGAATACCAGTTTATTTAGATTATCCTTACTAGAACCTAAATTTGTTTCTAGTATGCTCATCTGAGAATGTTCTACTGGTATTTCTGTTCACACCCCTATTAAGCCTTTAAACAATGTAAACATAAAACTGATTCGAGTGAGTCAAATATTGCTTTCAATAACCTGCTGTAACAAATTATCCAAATGTCAGGCTTTTTCCTGTAGTGGTAGTTGTTAAACAATTTCAGTAGTAAGTCAAACGTATAACTTCAACACTTCTTTATTCAGTAGTACTTTGCTAAATAGTTTCGTCTTTCAGATCACTGTTTTGTTTGACGTGATGTGTTGCTCCTTTTACTCCTCGACAAGTTTTGTAATCTGACGTCATAATCGCTTTGTCTTGATGGCCGAAATGGATTATTTGCTTATTTCATAAACAATATCAAACTGGGGCTATTATTAATTATATGTTCCCAATTTGATAAGTTTATTACTGTATTTGGAAATTTGTCGAAAACACCGTTTTTTGCTATCAACTCATAGTTAAGCGAGAAGAGTATTCTATGATCAAAGAGCTTTTTCTCATTCTTTTGAATGTCTTGAGAATGGGAAAGCTACCGCACGATATCGTTATTTGGCAAATAAATAAATACTTTGATTATGTGTGCATATTTTTGAGCCTTAATATACTAACACGTGATAGGCTGTACTACATAAAAAAAACTCTCGCGCAACTACAACTACACGTAACATCATGTCTTTGAGGTCGTGGCACATGTTGAGACACCTATTTCAATGGGTACAACAGCAACAGTATTTGCAAGAAGAACAACAACGACAAGTCCAGCAACAAGAAGAAGAGCTTAATCTGTTGCGAGCTCAGCAAGTTGTAGATAGACAACAATTTCGGCTTGTCTTTGATCAAGACCAACGACAGAAACAAAAAATAGAGTTGCTGCAACGGAAAATTCTAAGAGAAGAACAGGAAATTGGAGTGTTGCAACACCAGTTATGTCAACAACAACAGCGTGATCACTTTATATGCAATTGGTTTGTGCTGTTTCTGTTCACAATATGGGCGAGCATACTATTAAAGTTATGCCTCTATTTTAAACAGTCATCTGCCTAGGGTTTGTATGTTTATTTTTACCCATAAATATAAACGTATGTTTACAGTAATTTACAAAAAAAAAGAACCACACTTTAGTTCAAAAAAAAAAGCGCTTGCAAATTTAATTGTTTATGGGTGTGGATTTACTTTGAGATTACTTATACGATATTCTATTTTCATTTTTGGTAAATGGCTGTTCGCAACGATTTTCATTATTCTGATCAGGTCTTAGTCTGGAGGCTTTTTCTATATTTTCTGACACTATTCCTAATATTTTACCCAATATTTGGATGAAATTTAAACCAGATCTGTTGAATATGAATGGCTATCTCAAGAAGTCGCTAGTAACGCGTGATATATGCTTAAAATTATTGTATTTGCAAAAATGGCAGTGTTTACTATACAGCTGTTGGCAAAAAAAAACTTTTGACATAAATGGCTCTTCATTACATAGGTAACGCAAACAGATGTTCTCTTTATCGAAATTCTGCTCCGTATTGTCGTAAATTTTGAATCGCGTGAGTTGTGAGTGGGGTCGCAAAAGCAAACTCACCGTTTGCGAAATTTATGGATTGAATCGGTTTTTTCTCAATCTTTTACTATTACTATTAACTGATAACAAAGTGACATACCTTTACGTTCAAAGGTATCCGTAATTTCGATTTTTAAGACGGCAAAGAGGAATTTTACGCAGCAAATTTAAGGAATTTTTTCGTAAAAATAATCAATAAAACGCAATAATCATATATAATACAGTAATTACACGCTTTATTATTCTAGAAACTCATTTGCAGTGTGTGCGCGTTTTCTTCGCAGCACATTATGTGTATATTGTATTTATCTGTTGGGTATTATCTAAGAGAAAAGTATCATAACTCGAGTCGACAACCACAATAATAATTATTAGTCCTTCAGAACAATTAACTCTACGAACTAACGTGCAGCCAATCTTATTAAAAGTGCTTTAAGAGACAAGTGTTAGCAACAATAATAATTAAAGTCTTGATGAAATAAGATTATGATATTAATAAGACTAATACTAAGTTAACAAATTGAATTTTTGATGCTGGCAATCATGTAAAAGTAATTTTGGTAAACTTTTTTTAGTATTTCTTGAAGATAATCAGGCTTGGCTTAATTAACCCTGATTCACCTTAATACATTACAAAAGTTGGTTACTAAACATGTAAACATGTTCCTTATTTAAACTAACAAATAATTTACTGACATACAGTATTTAGTGTTTCTCTTCTATTATTTTTACACTTATTTTTATGTTTATCCTTCATTCACCAGGAGGTTGCTTTTACACTAACTATAACGCAATGACAGCCAAAACCGAGAGATCAATAATGAATGTTGATGTTTTAATACGTATTATAAATGTTATAACTTAAGTATCGTTAATGTTTATATAATTTATTTGTTATACTGATACTGCTGTTCAACAATTCGGCTGTTAAAAGTGACATTGTTTAAATTGGTATTTTTAAAAGCGAAGTGGGGTCAAGCTATTGACGACTAAGTCTGTACTTTGATGTTCCTGTTTAGTATGGTCGACAATTCACTATTTAGTAACCCATCTAGTGTTGTATTATCTCTGTGATAAAACCACTTTTTATGTCTACTATCGTATTCATAACGTTTAGGACCACTTTACATAAGATATAACGATAATGTAAGCGTTCTGATTCACATTCGTTAATATAATAGACATACTATTACTATTATTAACAACATTATTCTTCATTTACCTGATGGGAGACGAGAGCCATATCTGCTTATTTGGTGGTTGTTTGTTGATTACATAAGTACCATAAGACCCAAGTTTAAGCGTCAAGACTCCACTCTACAACAGGAAATACAGCGGCGACACATAACACATACATTACAACACTACATCCAAACCATACTATGAATAACATTGTATGCATATCCGCATCCTTCAACTCACCGAGTACTCGACATCATATCCGTCCAGCTCTATCGTATCCCCAAGCTCATCAAAATATCCCGTCAGCCGCTGCATTGTCTCCTCGGCAAAGTTGTGATATGCATTGGGTGATAATTCACTTACATGATAAATGTCGGGGCAACAAAGAGGATGTGATCACATGAAAGTTATCAAACTGCAAACTAAGAAAAAAACGAAAGCAACCAACACTTATTATTACAATCGCTACAGGTTCTTGAAATTTTCGGATAGACCGCTTGACCACCCATTTTAGAGACACACTCACCTAATCTCATAATGTATCTTCTCAGACGATGAATAACATCTGCAATATTTATGAACCGGGACAGACAGTATCCCAACTTTGCCCATATTCCACGGCAGAGTATTTCGCAGTCCAAGTAGTCTACTTGTCGCCCTCAACGTGCTCCATCTCTGATATAATTCTGGCAAAAATATCACCGACCTACTCCTACGCGCTAATGTATGTATGCTGCTTAAGAATGACATTGTTGCGCATCACCCAGATTTGAAGGTCAATAATAAAAATGCTTTAATTTTGATTATCACGTCCGGTTGACCTGATTGGCCGAGATAATACCCCAAGATCTTCAGAAATTGGTTACAGTAACGTGACCGCATTTTGATGTTGTTCACATGATTAAATAAAAGAAATCAAGTATATATAGAACGATAATATACTACATTAGTATGTAAACTAAATAAACATTACATTTCACGTATTAATATTAGTTTTGATATCTGTTAATGTAAGTATTTGTGGTGTCGAGTTAATAGTCACTGAAGAGCGATTGACTATTACTCGTAGGAATCCAGCTACTTTCGAGAGCGTGGCTCTCCTAATCGTAGTTAAATAAAATAAACAGTTAGCGACTTTTCAACTAGCTTTTCCACTTACAATCACGATGTCGCTATATAAACTCTAACCTAAATGATTAATCCGTCCTCAAGAGTGTCTCGATTTAGTTCGGTAATCTGTATATATATTTGTAAGTATAACAAACGCGCGTTTAAATAACAAAAATAATATTATCATAATTAACAAATAGTGATTCCGTTCGGGATTAGTGTTTATGCCTATATCGAATAAATTCGGAGAATACAAAGTACAGCTACAGTCACCTATATAGTCACACCTCCTATACAATTACTGGCTGGCCCGGTCCCAGTCATTTTCATATTATAGTCACAGTCACCCGATTTTGAATCCTCGTTACTATTGCACAATATGAAAATTCCTCCTTTGTAGTCACCAAATACTTTTCTTAATTAATCATGACATGCGCATGCTTTGTAATAATAAATATTTGGGTTCGATTAAGAATATTATTCGCATTATTAGTACAATGGAATTTTGTTGTATTTTATTGATTAAATATCGCTGCAAGTCGAAAATAAAATAATTTCAAAAAATGTCAAAGCATTTATCTAAAACACAATCTCGACCGAATATAGAGATAATGTAAATTTTGAATATGCTAGGCGACATCCGAACGTAAAGCATGGCGGTATGATAAATTATTTTAATAAAAAGTTTAATCTTAATCGTTCGACTGTTAGCAAACTGTAGGCATAAATGTTCGTGATTTGCAAGCACACAGCGAACACTTTAACGAACTCTCGCTTTAACGAAGATAGCTTATAACGAAGTATTTTTCTGGAACCAGTTCGCTCTTAACAGATAAACGAAGATTTATATATATTTTCAGTATAATGATATAACGAAGATTTCAAATCCATAAATAAAGCCATTCATTTGGGCAACTTTTTTTGTATAATGAAATTTATTATAATGTAACAAAGTTTGTTATAGGAATTAACTAATCAGAATCATTGATCTCAATCTCATAAATAAAAATCTAAAGCGGTGTCTTCTTGCTACTAAGACCGTAAAAGCTATAATAATAATAGTATTGACAGTCTCTGTTATATTTACAAGAGGAATTAATATAGAATTGCAAACTTTAAGTAAGTTACGTAAAGCATTTTGGAAATATTATGCAGAAAAGAAGACAAACAATCATCCGTGATTATATTTAATCTTAAAATAACCATAATAAAATCAATTTTATTGGATATTCGTATTGACTAAAATCACGTAAATATTACTTACTTTCAGATTACCGACTTTGTTAAAGTGAATTTCACTGTGTAGTTAAGTACTATGATGGAAAATCATAACCATTGATATAATTTTCTTGAAACTTATGATAAAATACATGAATTACCCAGTCTTGACAGGAATATGACGTATCACTTACACTTTGCCAGCTGAAATCGGTCTAAGCAACTTTATTGCAGGATCTTGAAAACGATAATACGTTGAAATGATCAAAACGATGATGCATTCTGCAAGCCATGACATGAATTAACGCCTTATATTCAAGTTATGGTCCGAGGACAGATTTATGCAACATTTTCGGACTGGCTTACATATCACAGTGTAATACTCGTAAAGAAAAAGAAAAAGCAGAAGAAGAAGAAGCAAAAGATTTATTAGAAAAATTATTACAACAAAAACACGAAATTAGCAGAGGCAACAGAGAAAATTTGATAGATGAGCATTTTTTGAAGCTAATTATTGTGCCGTTGCCCATTACAGTTATGATTGAGCGCAAAATGTCCACGCTGCTCATTTTGCTCCACAGATAAGATTTATTATCTCAGTCTACATAAAATGCATTTATTTGTATTCAAGATGAAGCAGTACGCGAACAAATTAATTGTGCTCTTGATAAAGACGAGCTTATGGGAAAATCCTAATGTCACGCTGAGCATGGTATTCGGTGGCATTAAGCTGTTGAACACAGGTGAAAGGCATTTAAGAATTACTTGTGACAGCGCGGATGGGCAGAACAAAATAATGCACTTACAATTTGCTGTGATTATGAAAGCAGCTAATTAATTTTATGATACCTGGACATACTAAATTTAATGTGACAGAGGTTTTAGACTGATTAAGAAACTATACCGCAACACGACGTGGATTATATTCAGCGAGTTTGAATAAAGCGACAAAGAAAGGTTTCGATACTGAGAACGATTTTAGTCACTTGACTATAACGGGAATCCTAAATGCCGATCTATCTTTTGCTATTATTGGCCAGGAGTTTTGTTTACATATTAATATCTGTCGCGTGTTTTGCTTTTTAAACCACACTTCTTATTTCTGTACAGTTCCACTCGTTGTTATAACAGACTTTAAATATCATGAACGCTAGAACAAAAAAAGTCGGGTATTTATGTTATTTGCATATATGGCTCTACAAGATCAGCTCTTGAATCGTTGTAATTATGACTGACAATTTGCAATCTTTATTATAGTCGTGCACATTACACTAAAGAAGAGGACGACAAATTGGTTCAGTTTATATTAGAACAACAAAAATTAAACAGTTATTTGAAAGGAAATGGGATATACAAAAAAATAGAGCCAGAAGTAATATAATTCTTTCTATCCAACAAATACTAGGCTTGTTACTAACTCTTATTCTGATCAAATAGTTCCCAAGGCACACGTGGCATTCATTGCGCGACCACGCACTGAAGAAGATAATCCCTAACTTGCAAAATTATCAACAAGCTGCACCGGTTATTAAGGAAAAATCAACTTCTCAGTCATCACCCACCACCCAATCGGTCAACCCGTCATCTGACTTGACATCCACAGCTCTCCCCAGCAGTGCAACACCTGATACTAAAAGCACAACACAACATAGAGGTGTATGTACAGAGCACAACTATTGCGAAAACGACGCAGACGACATTGTTGATTCTGTTAAGGAGTTGGGCGAAGATTTAAAGACCAAACGCGAATCTAAAGAATTTAGCAAGTTGGAGTGGGATGATCGGAGTATGCTGGAGGTGGTAGAGGAGCATATTAAAAAGAGGAAACAAGCCATGAAGAAAAAAGGCTTTTTACGTTTAGTTGGAGAGTAATGAATCGAAGCCCTTGGATTTGGATGAGATGAGGGATTTGATTGAGAATTAGAGATTTGAGCAAAACAGTGAGACATTTGTAACGCGTAAAGTAGGTTTAGGCTTTAATCAAGAAAGTATGGTTGTTATGGATAGTAAAAATATCGGTTGACTGAAACACCTATTCCTACTCGATCTATTGTAAATTTCGCTCTCTTGTTTTGTGTTGTCATTACAATCGTATTGCAGATTAAGATTTGTCTTCACAAAGAAACAAACGATTTGAGCATCAATACGTATACAAGTATATACTGGCGAGACGGTGTTAATAATAAATGGTTGGGCTAGTCTTCTGGATAAAAAAATGATATAATAATCCGCGTTCGAGATATACAGTTTGAGCTCAATCTGAACGCGAATAAATCCACTCAAGTAATCAAAAACAATTACTCTTTCCTTAAACTAGGTTCGAAGTTTTTACGAGGAACACGAAACGTACCAAAAAGACAAGGTAAGACACGTATCACATTTTTCATGAGAATAATATTTACAGGGTAGAGTTAGGATAAAAGTCGAAAGAGACACAAATCATAACGCCATTCTAATATAAATGTTATCGTGGAGCAAAGAAAGAAGTTTAATATCCAGGGACGTGAAAAAATCTTTAATATTAGTTTTTTCCTCTTTGAGAAGAACTATAAACAGCGGTAACGACATTTCATAATTATTTACACATTATAACTACACGAAAGAGTAATGCAAAAGAATAGTAAAGCACAATTCACTGAAAAGCGTACATAGCGAGCAAATATCAACTATTCGAATCGAGTGTTCAACTACTCGTCAACAACAACTCAACTCAACTCAACTCCATTCAACTCAACTCCCACTCTGAACCTCTCAACTCGATGGTCTCTGGTGATGTGTGGAAGTTTGAGGTACAGACTGTGTTAATGATGGGTGATACTGCGACCCTAATGATGACGCTATGCTTACAGGCGATCCATTCCCTACAAGATTATTGTTCCCCATCAATGGACTTCCTGTTATAGTCACATTCTGTCTAAGCGGCGAACTTGTGGTTGGGTTATGATGTCCAGTTAGCATTGGTGAATGTATTTGTATATGTTGTGGTTGTGTGATATGCGTTGTATGGAGATGAGTTGATGGTGACAACCCAGGAACACCATTTAATACTAGCCGTTGAGCTAGTTTGGCATTCAACCCCATTTTCATACTGGCTAGGAGGACACTCGCATTCGATGTAAGACCATTGGATGTGGTAGAAGCAGTGTTAGAATTGGGATTCTGACGTTGAGCAGCACTGTTCGCTAGCTGCACCGGACGATGTAGCATATTGGACATATGTATTCCCCGATGAACATTAGTTCCCACTACTTGTGCTGCTGTTTGCATCGGACTGCGTACAACGTTCGTTGTTGGAGACGATACTAAACTGTGTATTGTCTGACTATCAGGTCCCACACGCATGGGGCGCACTTGCTGTGGCTGCTGCTGTTGGGGTTGCTGTTGCTGTGACGGCTGTTGTTGCGGCGGCTGCTGTTGCTGATGTTGTTGCTGTGACTGCTGTGGTTGCGACTGCTGCGGTTGTTGCTGCGGTTGCTGCTGATGTTGTGTTCTCTGTGGTGATGGTTGCTGTACTTGTTGGCGTCTTACTATAGCAGCTTGATTAGTTATTCGGTTGAGTAATGGTTGAGGTGGTCGGAGAAGACGGGCGTGTGCGTTTGAAATGAACGGGTTTGCCGACAAGTTCACGTTCGATGGGATCGTTGAATAGTTATGGTTGTCGTTCGATTGTGCCATCGACTGGGCGTGCAATTGTACTTGAGGTAGTCTAACCCTGGCACTGAGGTTTTGCAAGTCTTCCTCTGTCAATATCGACCATCGAGCGAGTCTATAGAGTTCACAGAAAAGAAAATTAGCAACATATTTGATGTCACAGACAAATTAAAGAGTTTATGTAGAATGTGTTGGTGGCAGGAATTATAAACTGTAATAGAAACTATCTCATAAACAATTGTAAATACCTTCTCTCAAGATCCTCTTGCTGTACATCGCTCAAATCATCTGAATAGTCGCTGAATTCGTCTTTATCATACATAAAGTCATCGTATGTGTATATGTTCTTATTGGTAGAAGCAGTTACAGTTGGTGATCTAAGACTTCGACGGTCCAAATACCGACGACCACCTCTCCCGATACGGCAGCGGACATATGACGTTCTAAACGGCTGGCTGTGTGATTGGGAGTCCGTACGGCTACGTAAATTGGGGCGATAGTATGAAACGGAAAGAGACTTGCGTGGTTTTTGGTAAGGATACTACAAATAGTTTGTCAAGCGTTAGAATATCATGAAAAAATTATAACATGATTTCGTATTACTCACATCGGTAAGGTCTACATATCCAACATCTGCGGGAGTTGAACCTCTTCGTGTCGCTATTCGTATTTGACTGTTTTTGTAAATAACAAGATACGTTAAATCTCTTTGTTCGTAAAGTCACACATTCGATCGTTCGTTAAAATGTACATACCCGTTATCCCTGTCGTCTGTATAAGACATTTTTCGGGTCTTTTTCTGAAAATAACCATCAAGATCCGTATCAGTATTTGTACGGTATGATTACTAACAACAGATAGCAAATTTCAATTCATCTTACTCGTCTACTAACCTCTTTAAGATCCTGATCGAATTCCTGAATACCAAGTCGCTGTTGCATTTTCTTCATTAAATACCTCTTTTCGAACTGGGTATTTGATAAAGATAAAATCTCCTTTCGTGTGCCTTCTCTGTCTTTGATCATATTCACTAACCGACTACCAAGAGCAATGTCACGCCGCAAACCACGTAGTTTCTCTAATGACTGAGCATCAGTGCGCCGTGTCTTGCGGAGTGGTTTGAGTTCTCGTCGGCGGAAACAGACATACGGATCATTCTCATTTCTAGATGTTTCCTCAAGCTGGAATTTACAGGTCGTTCATTGATCAGTTAGATGGAAAAGAAAAAAATTTGAGCAAATGAGGTAATGACATACTTTTAATCTTGGTATAATCGGACGACCACCGCGCTTTATACGTCGTTCTTTCCAGTGAGGGTACACAATTTGTGCTAACGATTTTGGTATCATTGATTTCTCGTTCCACGATTTTTCCATCTGTTCCCACGTTGGAAGTTCTTTTAGATCCTATAATTGTCGAAACAAAAAGAATTACATTATCCAATTTAGCATGTTTAGAAACACGCCTCTATCACTCCAAATTCAAATTTGTACAACATACCATTATGTTCCGCTTAGAACTTTGATCAAATTGATGCATTATTTTTTCAAAATAGTCTTCGCTTATCCGTGCGGCCGGCTGTGCATTCTTGTTATATTCCGCCAGCCATCGATCATCCTCCTCATCGAGCGTATATGGACATCCAATGCATTCTTCGATTGGTGTAGAGAATCTTATTAAGCTGCACGGATCTGTCCATGTCTTGCTGCCATATAATTCTTCGTAATTTGGAACTTCACGACGTGCGTGTGGAGTCGGTATTACTGCTGCTTTAGATAAATCACCCGTTGCTAATACTGCTGATGCGGCTGTTAATGCTTCTTGAAGGTGGAGTTCCTAAAGGAACGAGGAAAAATTAGGTGAATAAAATACTAATGAAAGTTTTTAATGTGGTTTGTGAATGAAACCATTAATATTATCAATTTGAAGAGTATCTTTATTTAGTTTATTCCAGAATAGATTGATATCATTTCCTACATCAACGGTGCATACATGTCTAGATCTAACCAAACTCTTAAAAGATCATCCAAAAGGAAAATATCGGAACGCTATGCTGCGCCGCAGTAATAAAAATGCCTTTCCTCCAAGTGAAGTCATTTAATACGGCGATAGTTAAAGTCGAAAAAATAAAAGAAAGCAATAGTCCACCACATGGGTTTATTGGTTGCTACTCTATATATTCTGTAATTGTTGAATTAAGAAACTTCTAGGCGTAATAATACTATAGGAATACAATAATAAAAATTTTCTCACCTCCTCTTCATCTTTGTCTACTCCTGTTTCAATAACGGGTACGCTACGAGCAACTCCAGTGAGTTCGTCAAGGTCAGTTATTTCATCTTCTAAGTATATACGTATGGGTTTCTTGTTGTCAATCTTTCTGTTTCTGAAAGACTTGCGGTTCGACATATTAGTCATCTCGAAGTGGCGCAGTCGGGGAAGTCGATGTAAAGGAGTTGAGTGAGAATATTTTGACTATCTAAAAGTGTTTTCGCAAGACCTCGCTTGCTTTATTTGCTCGCTAGAACGTGTTATAAGTATATGTGTATGTGTAAATGTTTTCGTAAACTACAAGAGCTCTGCAATGTTTCTTTTTTTTTTTCTTTTACTTCTTTACTGCTCTGCTCAGGCCTTGTTTGGATATCGGGTTTGGGGGGTCTGGGGGTCTGGTTTGCTGTATTGTGCGTTGGACGATTTACCAATTAGTGCAGCACATGGTGACGTTTTACGGAGAAATACGGATAATGATAGTTAATTTCTAATATTGTAGTACACTATGTATGTCAAGGAATTTACGATTGGCAATGAGGTATTACACGTGATCGAATTGCAAACGCCCGGAGTATAATGTCCGGCTGAGAGTCTTATGTAACTTGATCGAGATAACTATCATAACAAAGGGTTTAGGCAGTCTTCGACTTCATAATCCATACTTTTGGCTCAATTACGATCTCGATGGGAAATAATCTAAAGGCAGTATCGATTAATCCTGCGGCAAACACTTTAAAACCATCGTAATTCATCTTGATTTTTTCCCCATCTGCTTTTCCCGTGGTGATATCTCCCAATGTTTCAATCACTTCCTTCACACTCTTTCTTTTCACTTTCTCGTATCCGTAAACAATATCTACTACTATAAAACGATCTTCATGGAATAACGGAGTATGTGTGAGTATGTGAGTATAGTTGGAATAATCTTCCGGAGTAAAGTGAGATTCCTCTTTTGAATAAATCCAGTCTTTTCTTAATTCCCCAAATCGTGATGCTCCTGTCATTGCAGTATATACGTCTAGATGCACTCGAGCTGATCGTGGGAGATACGGATCAGTTTCTAACATAAGCTCGACAAGTGAAATATGATGCTGGAGAGAGTGGAAATAGAATTATGTAACAATACGGAAGAATTACTTACCTCGAATATAGTTTTTCTCGATATTGTGTAATTTAAGAAGTGCCGCACCGCCAGGATAGTTGTAACTTGAAATTATGAGGATCCCAGTACTCGATATAAAGCTCATTATTAGTGCAACAATTATGATGTATCTGACAATTCTATATAATTTGGATGCTTTTTGTTCGCTGATAGTGTAAGATGGGCAAAGTATTAGAATATTAATTCATGATTCATTTCGGATATCTACTGAATGCACGTAATTCCTAATACTTACATCCAACTCCACCCAATGGCAGCACATAGGTTGAATACTGGTACCACATATACAATAAAACGCCACTCCTTATGTCCAAGTAAAGAGAATCCCGCTACAAATATGATAATCGGTGATATATACAAGCGTGTACGCTCATCCACAATTAGAGCAAATATACTCAAAGGAAGGGACGCCACCAATAATTTTGGAATGAACACAGTGAAGTAAGTATGGAATGGGGAAACCTGATTGATGAACAAAAAAAAATGCTTAGTTTGTGTCTGTAGTGGTCGTGCTTACAGGAAATTGTGTATAATTATATGTGAGAGATACGTACACCCCATTCAACACTTTTTCCGAGTATGGCATTGAAATAGAATACCGAACCCTCCGGCCACATCCATGGTCTTTGCCAAAAGTATGAATCGATTACTAATGACGTTACTAAAGGCAGTAAGGATATCATTAGAATGTTATAACAGCAGGAGTAAACTTGTAGTACGAGCCGATCAAGTGTTCTCCCTTTGACAACTATGTTAACCAACCTCCTTACCCAAACTCGCCAGTCCAACGCTTGCTCCGACGGCGACTTCCGTAAATCCGATCCTGTGTATCCTCGAGGTATACAAAAGGATCGGACCAAGCGTCAGCACAACTTCAAAACGAAAGATCACGCTAGCAATAGTTGCATATGTTATCAGCCATCGTATGTGTTTCGATGGGTTGGCTGATGTCGTCGATAAAACCCAATGAGACAATGCAAGTATCGCTGCGGAATTAGGATCACGTGATGTATAAATTAGGAC